CCCAAAAAGTTTTTACAGTGTAAAACTAGAAAATGGGCCTGTGTTAATGCTGCCAAATTAACAATTTGTTCTATACAGGCTTAGTTAAGCCTAGACTTTCTTTCTTGTTCCTTGCTTTTAGATTTTTTTTTTTATTATTATTATTTTTTCTTCAGGTTGAAGCTATGCCCCGTTGTTGACAGGGTATTTTTCTGTTATGCTGCTGATAGCTACATTCACTTTGTCGACCAATCACTATTCCTGGCTGCCACTTGTTTGAGTATAGACTGTAATTTTGTCAAAAAAAAATGAATCCATGTGGTTGTTTATTCTGCTCCCTCTTCCTCTGGCAAGCTTAGCTGCAAAAGGGTGATTCATGAAAGAGAATTAAGACTGGCAGATGGATACAGATATGACAGAGGCTGTGTAGCAATAAGATTCATCACCTCTAAATCCAGGTTTAGACCTAAATCTACTCAAGGCTTCATTCCCAGAGTGTCTTAAATAAACGGCTCTGGAGCCTACGCAGCTTTCATGAGGAAAAAAGTGGGCTCTGCTCTTTAAATCAGGGGGTAAAAGCTTTATAATATGCTCTTCTGCCCTCCTATCTGAGTCCTCCCTTCTGCCCTTTCAAGGTGAAATGAAAATGACCTGATTGATTCATTATCAGAGTGACTAGCTGACACACTGTGACTGTTTTCTGCTTTACTTCAACCAGTTTCACATGTTTAACAATAGATTTTGAAAGGCCCAAAATTAGAAACACGGATCAATATTTCAATGCACAGATCACAAAAAGACACTTAGAAACAAAGCCAATCCACAAACACAGGGAGATACACAAAGTTGCACAAGTGCAAATCTGACACACACACACACACACACACGCACATTTCATCCCACATGCTCTGTAAATAGAGAGCAGGATGTTGCAGACATTTGGGTGCATGGACAAACAAGCAGTGTTCCTTGTGAGAGAACGGGAGAGAGAGAAAAAGCAAGCACGGAAAGACGAATGAGAGGTAGAGGCACAGAGAGACACACGGGAGAAGAAAACTGGGGGTAGGTGGACAGATGAAGTGGTGACTCAGGAATGTGATATGAAAAGAAAAGATTCAGCACTTGGAATGATTCTCCTCTTCCTCCTCCCATCTCAGACAGAGAAGGAGTGGTGGGTTTCCGCTATTTTTTACCTACTGTATCCTTCTAATCTTATCTCCTGCACATCCTACAATACTTTTCCGTTCCCCCCCACATCTGCCACTCTTGCCTTGTGAATAGCAGCCATCACAATTAAAAAGGAGACATGAGTCAATAAAGGAGTATTTAGAGGCTGCCAGGACAACTCTCTACACAAAATGCATCTTTTAAAGGGAGAAAAGTTGTATAAACGATCCCTTTGTATAAGCGTATGTAATTGCTTATTTTGAATTAACGGTGCTTAACCACAGTTTTTGTAAAGCTTATTACAATTTCACAGTCAATGTCCACAGATGGAGGAAACATGGCGCATTGGTGAACCTTCCCAGAGTTTGTGGATCATCCCAGGCCCCCTATCAGATATGGGACCTACTTCCCCCGGTCACAATCCCCTTCCTTGGCTGGTGCCTGTGCCCACCTGAGCGTTGATGTCTCTCTGTGTCTGGGTACTCGGGTATGTATCGGTTCACTCTGGTGACTGCCGGGTGCCCTGGCTCTGTCGGCCTCTGCTGTGGGGTTGTGTACCCTGAGGGCTCGGGTCTCTGTATCCTTGATTAGATCATAGTTGGTTGTCGGTGGAACCTATGGGCTCATTGCTTCAGCCCCCTGGGGCTTCTGCACTGTGGCTACTGGGGGTCACCTCCTCCGTTTCTCTCTGGGAACGGGGTTCTAATGAGACAGAAATGGAACTTTTTGGAAAATGTGCATCCCTTGCATTTGGGACAGCAAGCACTCATAGTGTTTCAGAAAAAGAGTGTTATACCTCCTGTCCATTGGTGTGGTGGAGGAAGTGTGTTGGTCTCAAGTTGCTTTTCTATTTCAGCTTGTTAGAATTAACTAAACCATAAATTCGACTCTCTACTAAAAAACCCTGAAGCATTTTATCCACCAATCAGTTTGTAACCTGAAGCTCAGCAGGACAATGGTCCAAAGCACACCAGCCAATGTGTGTTTGAATGGGGGGGAAACAAAATGGAAGTTTTGCAGTGGCCTATTCAAAGCCACAAATATAAAATCTGATTAGAATTTTGTTGTATGACCTCAACAGGCTATGTGGCTGAATAAAAATGACTCTGCAGAATAGTGTAAAAAAAAATCCTCTAAAAAGACTTTTAAAAAATTAATTGCGTTGGAAATGCTTGATGGCAGTTGTTGCTATGAAAAGTTTTACAACCAGTATTTAAGTTTAGGGGCAATTAATTTATCACATACGTCCAAGGTGGTTTGGTCAGTTGATTTTACTTGAGAACTGCTTTCAGTTTTTACTTTTGTTTCCTGTCAGCATGGCCGCCTTAATGCACTGGCTTAGCTGGACTGAATCCCAGGGGCCTACAATTTTCACTACCCTATCATTTAGGGTAAAAAAAAAACACAATAAAAGAAAAATCTTTGCTTTATAACTTGCCAGGTTTTCTGTCAACAATCCTTATGTGGTTTAATGGTTAATACGCTCATGCTTACTGCTGCAAGTAAGAAGTCTACAGTATGTGGCTGTAATTGTCGCTCTCTAAAATGCCTTACAAGGTATTCATATCACTCTAACTTTTTATCATGTTACCCGGACTTCAATATATTTTATTGACAGTTGTTTTCTGGCCCTCTGATAAAACCTGTTCTGGAATTATGGCTATGTCTAGCGTTGCAGAGATACAAACTGAAGGTTTTGATTATTTTTCTTTGTAATATATGTGAAGCACATTAAGGCTGGATGAAAAGCGTACATGAACAGTGACTCATGAACAAATTGGTCTGGACGGTACCCTTCTAAGACATGGGCAAACTCTGATATTTGTCTGTCACACATAATGTTTTTCAAGAAAATTTGATTGAAACTATGCACACGTTTGTGTTTACCTATCACATAGAATCACGAAATACTCTGAAGACTTTGTTTGCATTTTGACAAAACGTATACATAATAAATTAGCAGACGAATGTCATGGTGAAAACATCTACTTCAGGTCTCAAATATGAGTAAATTATAATTAATAGCCATGAACTTTTGTTTTATTTAAAGTTACAAGTTTAACCCGTGTTGTTTTCAGGAGTGTAAAGTATTTGTATTATGTCAGACTAACCTCTGCCAAATGAATAAACTCTGTTTCTGCATGAAAGCATTAACTGCAGAATTTTTGTGGAACGTTGGATATGTTTTATCAGTGAAATAAATGTTTTAAAAATCACCACAAGTGCTGTATGTCACAGGAACAAACCCCGAGGTGTAATAGATTTAACATATAGCTAGGAATAAAAGTCCAATATTTCCTTTGGATGTCTGAATACATCAAAACCTTTAGGAGCATAAGGTGAAAACCTTGTTTTTCTTCCTTATTAAGTGTTGACTTCAGCTCAAACCTTTGACTATAATGAGGTAAAGCTTCTGGGAGGGCTTGTGGATATGTTTTGCCGACAGGCTCCTCTCACAGAACCAGGACAAGTATTCTAATATTGTATTCTAATAATGCAAAAGCTAAATAGCAATCCATCATATCATTTAAAGAACTGAGCGTCATACCTATAGTTGCCATTTGGTCCAAACATTTTGCATCTCTAAACAAGACTATTTGGTACCAATGTTCTTAACAGCCAAAGAGTTTATTTTTATTGTTAATTACCGTATTTTCCGCACTATAAGGCGCACCTAAAAACCTTCAATTTCCTAAAAAGGCGACAGTGCGCTTTATAATCTGGTGCGACTTATATATGGGCCAATATTGAGCCACAACAGGTCTAGCAACTACGGTAAGCAGCCGCCCACTTAATTTTCGCGTAGAAGAAGAAGCGCGCGGTGCATGCTGGGATAGTTGTCAGAACGCTGGTTTGTTAATAACGTTTGACTGACTAGGTTATAAAAGATTTTTTACAAAGAAGTCTGACAAGGTTGGAAAGCACCGCCACCCCCTTTTGTTCCGATACCACTAAATAAATGTGTAGCCAACTGCCTTCAGATGAACCCTAATCAGCTGGTTATACTTTAACCTCTGAATGAATTCAGCTGTTCTGTAAAGGCATCAGTGGTTTGTTAGAGATCATTACTGAACAAATGTGATGATCAAGGAATATAGCAGACAGGTGAGTTTTAAAAAACAAAGAGTTAAAAAAAGGAAAGAATATCACAAGCTTTAAACATCTTTCAGGATACTGCTATATCATTTGAAAATGGAAGGCACATGGCACCAGTTTGCACCTACCATCACTTGGTTGTTGCACTAAACTGACAGGTAAGATAAGGTAGACATCAGACAGAGAATCAGCCAAGATGCCCATAGTAATTGTGAAAGATCTCCAGGGATCCAAAGCACATATCAAAAAAAATGTCTAGATGAAAAGTATGAATCATTCACTCCAGAAATGTGGCCTTTATGGAGGAGTGGCAAAATGAAAGCCACTGCTGAAAGAAGCATCATGAAGATGGGATGCTTCTCATAGCACAAAGGGGGGTTGGTCAGAGGCAATGGATTAAGCTAAATGCAGGTTTAAGGTGTTAGGATCATTGATCATTTGGGTTTGTAGTTTAGTTTATCTGTTTTCCTTATTCTTATTAAATCAGCTTTGGTTCTGTTTTAATTTAGGTCAGTTCTTCCTTAGTTTTTCTAGTTAGATTAGGTTTATTTATTCTTGGTGTTTAGTTATTCTTTGCTAAAGTTAGATTAGTCTTCATAGTTCTTCTGTTTGTTTACTCTCCCCTGCCCCCTTGTGCTATTCTCTCTTTCCTCAGTTTGCCTTCTGCTGCCTCCTCTCACACCTGAAACTTGTTAGCCAATCAGCATTAACTCTCCCAGTATTTAACCACCTCTCACTTCACCCACTCCTCTGGTTCCTCCTGTACTTCTCCACTCCTCCATGTACCCTGTTCCTGTTTGTTCCCTGCTCGTGCTCCATATTACCTACCTGTTTGTAATTTCTTATTTATTATTTACTTTCTTGATTAAATACTCGCCACCAACTCGTCGCCTCAGTCTCCTCTGCATTTTCATTCGAGCTACATGACAAATGTGCGTTTATTTCCATTACAGATTTTCCACATACATTGAATAAAAACATAAAACATTTAAGACTGGAATAATACATCAGACCAAGAAGAAAACATTTTTAAAGATGGAAATATTGGCTTAATGAAAGTATATTTGTTGCATAATAATAATTTTCAAAACATACATTTGAGATGACACGTGGAAGTTGCAAACTGAAACTGTGGTTTAAGCTCCTGCAGAGCTGGCTGAATAAAACAATGAAAAATATGACTTTACACTGCACAAAATTAGGTTAATATGAACATTTTAAGGAAATGTATTTTTAAGTATAAGGACATACATTTCTCCTTATGATCATTAAGGGGCAATCACTATATTAAGTTCTTACTATAAATACTAAGCCCAGCAGAGGTGTACTGCTTTAAAAATGCCAACCCGCATTTCAAAATAGGCTCATTCTTGATGAACTGATTGCACAGATGAAGCTTTGAAGTATCCTTTTTGCCCTAAGCATCTTTAAACAAAGTGATAAAATAGATAGTTGTTGAAAAGATTGAATTTTCAGCACTCATCTCACTCATTCCTCCTGCTGGTGGTCCAATGGATTGTGGAATACCTTGCTGGCTCCAATATCACATCATTCCGTTTCATATCACTTCAAATTAACTAAATAATTTTAAACGGTGACCTCAAAATGCGCTCAACTTTGTAAATTAAGTGCTTTAAAATATAAGTTTAAGTTTTACTTATTTTGATTAAAGTCAATATCGTAACTTCACAATACACCTAAAAGTTAAATTTAATCGAGTGTTTGCAAAACCTTGATCAAAGTCAACTTATAGTCACTTAGCAAATCAATGCAAAGCTACAGTTTACAGGTAATGTTCTTCTGTTCGGTTCTGAATATCCTGCTGCCTTTTGAGTGCTTCGTTTTCATATGAAGTTGACTGGAAGCTGCAGACTATTCGTTTTACAAGTCAGTGTAAGAGCATTCAGAGTCATGCTCTGTTCGGACATTTGGGGCGGGGGCCCGGGGGGGTTCATATGATGTTCTGTGTTCGCATTCTGACCCACTTGTGCAACTTTTAAGGGGGTTGTTAAAATCAACGGGTCGTCTCCCTCTTCTGCCCCTCAACTTCAGTGTAGCTCCTGCATTTCTCACTTCCTCTCTCTCTCTCTGTATCTCTCTCTCTCTCTCTCCCTTTCTCTCCTCCGTCGCTTATCTCTGCGCGCATCGTCAGCACTAGTTTGGAGTCAAATCTGACAACCGCCGCCTTTGCCCGCTCCTTCCTCCGGCTCTCCTAATACTCTCCGGCGGCTGTCCCGGCTCCTTTAAAGGGGTAAATCAACTATTTATTTAGCTAAAAACACGTGTAAACATTGATATTTTCTTTCTTTTTCTTTTTTTTTTTCTTCCCCAAAGAGTCTAGCTGACCTCGATTGCCTACTCTGTGCCGTGCTTTCTCTCAGATGATCTCTTACCTTGTTTCTCCTCCTAGCTCTCGCAGTCGGGACCGTGGGACCGCATCCGACCGCTGTGTTCAACTTGAGGCGAAGAAAGACACGGGAAACTCCTCGGGATTCTCCGTACATCGAGCGCTCATCTGGATTTTGTGGTGAGCTCACTTAGTTACATTAAAAAAATCATTGCATTTATTTTAATAGTGAATACTATCCAAAGCGCTGCATCTGTTGTGCTGATCCGATAAGAACCCAGGGTGTGCAAGCCAAATTATTCAAGTGCATTTATTATTATTATTATTATTTTATTTTAATTGGCCAACTCTTCTTTGTTGTTTTTTTGCATGCACAAAAGCAGAAACGTCGCAGCACTGCTTACTCGCTTCTTTCGGAACCCCCCCCCCCCCCCCCTTTTTTTTTTTTTTTTTTTTTTTTTTGTAACGTACCCCACTTAGTTCCCGCTTATTGTGCATGTGAATTAAACGTGGCCACTTGTGACAATTTAGCTGTCAGTATTCCTATCACGAAGCGGGCTGAGAGTCAAATAATACCGTCCGGAGTGTGGGAGAACAGGAGGGAGATTAGGGTGAGAGGAAAGAAGACTGTGAGAAGAAACATTTGCGGGATCCCTCAGGGAAGCGCTGCTTTCTTTCTTCCCTTTATTGGGAGGATTTTTATTAGTCTTTAATGCCTCTACAATGATCATATTATCTAATACGGTTTTGCAGGCTCTTTTTAAGATGTGCTTATTGTCAGTGCCATTACTGCTCATTATATGTGGTGACACACTCCCGGCTGTGCTGTAAGAAGGCATCTACTGGGCCATTTGCTGCTTTTTTTTATTGTCCTGTTTATCAATTAAACTTGTCTCTAATGGAGATCTCACACTTCCTCCAACATAAAACATTACTCTCCCACACACCATCCGTTAGCATCTCACCTCCCACATAGCCACACTTGCTGTCCACAGCCGATTATCTGGTTACATGCCACCATTTGAGCTAATAGAGTCCTTACTTAATGTGATGACTTCTCAATCAGAGGCGGCCGAGCACAGCTGAGGGCCGCTTAAAGGTTCATAAGCGGTGTCATCAAGGGCAGATCAAGAGGCCAGTGAAGACCAGACAAAGTGCCCCGTGGAGGTTGTCTGAGTAATTTGCTGATTCGTTTTATTGCTTAATTACAGTATGGGGCTGTCACTGTATGTGGGGATATGTGTGTGTGTGTGTCTTTTTAGTGTGCCCGTGTGGGTGTGTGAGACGGCTTTGCTCGCTCATGTGTGTGCAAGTAAAGAATGAGGGAGCAAAAAGAGAAAAAGAACAGAGAGAGATTATGCTAACTCAAAGTTTTGGAAGAAAAAGATGGGGGGGGGGGTTACTTTAGTAAGCAGTTTTTCCCAGTCACATTCTGTCACAGTCTGCAGGAACACAAACATTCCTGTAGACTTTAAAATACTAAAGAGAAGAGGATTAAAACTTCCAGTGTTGTAGTTTTGAAAAGTTACATTTTCAAAACTGCTAAAATTATCCTTCGTGCTGGTCCTGCACTTCTAATGAGATCCCAGAAAAAGTTCTGGCTGGATGAAGCTTAGGTTGGCACAGCAGTGCCTCTCCCTGACTTGTTTCTGTGCACTGCCCACAATTCTCTACAACCATGCATGCTGTAGTAGTAGGTGGTCATAGCAGTAACTTCATTTATAGAACTTGGAATGAGCACATCATTTGTGATGGATAAGGCAGGCAAAACGGTCTTCATTTTCTCGGCAACAAGAAGGGAATGCAGTCTCCTTATTGACTACAAATGCATAAAAGCAATATAGAACTGTCTTTGTGACATTGTATGTTACAATCTGTACACACACGCCTTTTATAATGCTGCTCTGGACAATATCAAAATCCACCACTGAGTCCATTCAATAGGCTTGAATACCAAGGCTACACCTACATAGGGCCGCTGCCCAGAAGTTGCTGGTATTTTTGGATGTAGACTGGGGAATCATTCCATGTTTAAATGAGATTGCATAGACACCTTACCTGCACTGTAGTTGTCATGCCAGGACACTATGTGGTGCTGTAGTTTTAGAATATTGTTGAAATGCACATGTGCTTTTGACCCTTAGCTTCCACCGTACTAGCTTCTACCTCATTTAGAAAGCAGTAACTGATCTCAGATAAACTAAGTGCTCATGTAACACACCTATATATTTTGTTTCAGGAGTTGTAGTAAACTGAACAGTTTAAGAAGCAACACAGTGCAATGCTATCCTCCACTGTTTTTGTTATCTGCTCATGCATATGGAGAACAGTCCCTGCAGCCATATGTTCTGCACATGTGCACTTTCACGCCTATTGAGAACTTCACATACTCCACAGAGGATGTTCCTGAAAAGTTCACTCTGACACCTGTTTTCAATAACTGCAGTCAGAAATTGATCTTTGGAGAACAACAATAATACTATGGTTTCACTGTGTTAATAGGTCCTAAATGACACTCGAAATACAACTATTGCTTTTCACTGAGATAATATTTTTCACACTGAATTTGTGATGACTAAACTTCACTACTGAGTGAATTTCTTAGCAGTTTTATAAAAAACAAAACAAAAAAAAATCTATTTGCCGTGCTATCCAGGAGAAGCTAAGCGAAACATAGACTGTTAATTTCAATATGGTAGGTAATCGGTTCATTAATTAGCACTTTATGCATTATTGGGCATAATTCCAACAGCTAGATGGCAGCAAAGTGTTTCCAATTTCATGCTTAGTAAATGTAGAAGATGCATCAACAGAGATTAGTTGAATACAAACATCACCCTGACCAGAAGCAAGTTGAGGCAAGTCCACTGCATTACATGGGGGTGTCTTTTGTTTACATTGTCTTAACCTATCAACATTAATGACAGATTAAAACACACAAAAATCATTTCCTCATATTTCAGCCTGTTTGAAATTTAAGGCAGCACTTAGGCTAATGTAAGACAGATGTAGAAAATATGTAAAAAAAAAAATAATAATAATAAAAATGTCTCTGTTGATGTGTTTTCCAGCATAGATAACGGAATAGTGAGCTAATAAGAGGTTGAAACTGTGAAACCAGAATTTTCTCCAGCTGTATGGAGTAATTGCATTATTACCACCTCACCTGTTGTTGCACACTGCTGATCAGATCATTGATGAAGTCTGCTGGGTTTTTTTCTTACCTATGTAAAAAGCCCAGTTAAATTCCTTGAAAATATTTCTCAACTGAATACAGACAGTCAGGTTATGAAAACTAAACCCTCTGACATTATTGCAAATCTGCCTTGCGTGCAGTAGGCAAGGCATGCAGCTCAAGTTGAATAATGCCACAGTATCACTTTACTACTCATCTGTTTTTGTAATACATACAATTTGACATCAGACTAAGCCAAGTTGACAGTTTTTTATGCATGTCAATGCCTTGCATTTAAACCTTAAAATGCTCCACTGCTCCTAGATTTCTGTAAGTTGCATGCAAATTCCACATCAATAAGCCAATAATATAATCATTTCATCCCAAAGTACACTATACAGACACTATGTCTGTGCCGATGAAGATCAGTTCACTTCCATATGCAAACTGCATATGGAACATCAGCAGCAACACGCATACGTCATATACATGACTGAACTTATTGTTCCACAGAATGCTCCTCATTTCCTTAAGCTTAGCATACATTTATTCATACGCATGAATACATGACAGGATAGTTTGATTACAACTTGCAGGGGAGCCGCTCGTCATTCTAACAGGAAACACTGTTGAAAATAATACTGACAAGCAATCACATAATTCTTGTTTTAAATTTTTGTGTTAAAACTGTAATATTGTAAACCCATAGCATCTTTATTGATTTCTTCATGGCGGCCCATGCCAGGTAACAAGACTGCTCAAGTAAGACTCAAATTTTGGCAATTCTCTGCTAAAGCGACATGTCTGAAAAATGTTGGACAACAGTTGAGTTTCTGCTGTTTTGTGTCTCTGTTAAGCTTGTGGGGGGAAAAAAATGAAATGAAATATGTGAAGAGATGATATGTCTCAAGCAGGCATCGTAATGAATGAAAGAAAACTCATTTTTATTGGAAAGTGTCCGGCCTCTTCACTCCTCAATTTACCTCCAGCACTCTGTTTAGATGAATTTCAGTCAGGGAATCCGCACAGATGTTTCACCAGAGAATTTGAGCCTCGTCGTGTAGACTTGGCCGTGCAATCATGCTATGAACCAATCAGTTAGTTTCGGTACATCCCATCGGTTTTTCTTGTCGGGTGAAAAATGAGATGTATCTTCCGACGATGAGCTGATGTGGTGTCACTGATGGCTGTGCAGGTGATTATGATGACAGGTTTGGTATTGGTCCCCATAATGACAGCTGCAAAACTGATTATCTGAATAGTACCCATGCTGAGATGTTTAATTATCTGGCAGATTAAAGGAATGAACTTCTGCACTTAGGAAAGCTGTTGTCTGTGTTGAGGTGTGATTAGCATTTCAGGGCCACTGTTTCAGACCACTTGTGCAGAAAACCCACCTCAGGCCAGCATCATTGATTTTGAGTCCCTTAAGGAGCTTGTCTCTTTAACACCATGAACCCGTCTCCAAGATACGAAGAATCACTAAATGATTTGATCAATGTAAAAAATAATCTACACAACTATAACCTCCAAACTCCAAACATCTTTGGGTGAGGAGTTTAAAACTTTAAAGCGCAAGATGTCCCAAAACATTCCCATATTAGACGTTCTCTGCTTTCCGTCTAAACTTAAAAAAGACTTAGTTACTAGGGATGTAATAATACAACACCACAATATTTTTCAACAAAGTGAAATCAGTGTTTCTGACTGTTATCCACTTGCTGTTTGCATAATGAGCTATTATGAATTATGTAAAGGTGTGCACTTTTGACTGCTGTAGTAGCTTGTGTTGATGTTTTCAGCTAATACAGACTTCTCAACCGACTGGACAACACCACCTTAGGACAAAACTACTGAAAAGGCCCCATAAAATTGCTGGTTTCTCCCAAGTGGTTTAAAACAAGTTGACAGAACTTCAGACAAGAACTGAACAATTTGCGAGCGCTGTGAGAAAAGCTGGGCAGGCTAATTGTTTGCCTCT